ATGATAAAGACCAATGATGAATCTGTGAAACATCTCACAACATGGATGAATCTGGAGGGCATTATGCTGAGTGAAATAAGTCAATCACAAAAGAGCAGATATCGTATGAGACCACTTTTATAAAAACCCATGAAGAGGTTTACACACAAAAAGAAAGAATCTTTGATGGTTACTAGGGAGAGGAGGGATGAGGAGGGAAAAACACCGAATAGAGAATAGGTAAGTGGTAACTTTGGTGAAAGGTAAGATAGTACACAGTACTGGGGAAGCCAGCACAACTTGACCAAGGCAAGGTCATGGGAGCTTCATAGACACATCCAAACTTCCTGAGGGACTGAATTACTGGGCTGAGGGCTGGGGACCATGGTCTCAGTGATATCGAGCTCAACTGGCATAACATAGTTTATAAAGAAAATGTTCTACACCCTACTTTGGTGAGCATCTGGGGTCTTAAAAACTTTTGAGTAGCCACCTAAGATACTCCACTGGTCCCACCCTGTCTGGAACAAGGGAGAATGAAGAAAACCAGAGACACAGAGAAAGATTAGTCCAAAGGACTAATGGACCACAACAACCACAGCCTCCACCAGAATGAGTCCAGCACAACTAGATGGTGCCCAGCTACCACAACTGACTGTTCTGACAGGGATCACAATAGAGGGTCTCAGACAGTGCCGGAGAAAAATGTAGAACAAAATTAAAACTTACAAAAAAAGACCAGACTTACTGTTCTGACAGAGACTGGAGAAACCCCGAAAGTATGGCCCCTGGACACCCTTTTAATTCAGTACTGAAGTCACTCCTGAGGTTCACCCTTCAGCCAAAGATTAGACAGCCCCATAAAACAAAATGAGACACACCAGCCCAGGATCAAGGACGAGAAGGCAGAAGGGCACAGGAAAGCTGATAATGGGGAACCCAAGGTAGAGAAGCGGAGAGTGTTGACATGTGCTGGGGTTGGCAACCAATGTGACAAAACAATATGTGTATTAATTGTTTAATGAGAAACTAATTCTCTCTGTAAACCTTCATCTGAAGGACAATTAAAAAAACCTAAGGGGGAAAAAAATTATACACGCACTCTTTTGTGACATTGGTTGCAATCCCCACAATGTGACAGAATGTTTCCCCTTTCCACTCTGGTATCCATTCATAAAGTTCCTGTTCCTTCCTGCCTTCTTGTCTTGATTTTGAGCAGGAGTTGTCCAATTGGTCTTGGATCCTTGATTGAATTAAGAAGCATGTACTCAATGTGCATTATTGTTTGTTTTATAGGCCTGTCTAATCTTTGTCTGAAAAGCAGAATTCTTGAGTGTTTTCAGTTCTGAGTTAGTGTCCAGTGGCCATAATCTCAGGGGTTCCTCCAGTCTCTGTCAGACAAGTAAGTCTAACTTTTTTGTGATTTTGAATTTGAATTCTGTTCTACATTTTTCTCCCATTCTGTCTGGGACTTCTCTGTTGTGATCTCTGTCAGAGTGGTCAGTGGTGGTAGCCAGGCACCATCTAATTCTTCTGGGCTCAGGCTGGTGGAGGCTCTGGATCATGTGGTCCTTTAGTCCTTTGGGCTAATGTTTTCTTTGTGTCTTTAGCTTTCTTCATTCTCCTTTGCTCCAGACAGGATGGGACCAATACCTGTATCTCAGATGGCTGCTTGCAAGCTTTTAGTTCCCCAGGCACTACTCACCAAAGTAGGATGTAGAACATTATCTTTATGTTCTATGTTACGCCAATTGACCTAGATGTCCACCAAAACTATGGTCCCCAGGCCCCAGCCCCAGCAAGTTGGTCCCTCAAGGTGTTTGGATGTGTCTGGGAAATTTCTATGCCTTCACTTTCGTAAGGTTGTGCCGACTTCCCCTATATGGTGTGTTGTCTTTCCCATCACCAAAGTTGACACAGTCTACTATCTAGTTAGTGATTTCCCTTTCTCCTCCCTTCCCACCCTCATAACCATCAAAGAATTTTTTTTTCTGTGTGTGAACCTTTTCTTGAGTTTTTATAATAGTGGTCGTATACAATGTTTGTCCTTTTGTGACTGACTTATTTCACTTAGCATAATGCCCTCCAGATTCATCCATGTTGTGAGATGTTTTGCGGATTCATCATTGTTCTTTATTGTTGTGTAGTATTCCACTGTTTGTTTGTATCATAATTTGTTTATTCATTCATCTGTTGATGGGCATTTAGGTTGTCTCCATCTTTTTGCTGTTGTGAATAATGCCGCAATGAACATGGGTGTGCATATGTCTATTTGTGTGATGACTCTTATTTCTCTAGGATATATTCCTAGGGGTGGGATTGCTGGATGGTATGATATTTCTGTTTCTACATTCTTAAGGAAGTGCCTTATCGTTTTCCAAAGTGGTTGTACCATTTTACATTCCCACCAGCGGTGCATAAGAGTTCCAATCTCCCCGCAACCTCTCCCACATTTATTATTTTGCATTTTTTGGATTAGTGTCCATATTGTTGGGGTGAGATGGTATATCTCATTGTAGTTTTGATTTGAATTTCTTTAGTGTCTAATGATCACGAGCATTTCCTCATGTGTCTGTTAGCCACCTAACTGTCTTCTTTGGTGAAATGTATGTTCATGTCTTTTGCCCATTTTAATTGGATTATTTGTATTTTTATTACTGAGGTGTTAAACTGTTTTGTAGATTTTAGAGATTAGATCCTTGTCGGATACTTTGTAGCCAATTTTTTCCCCCAGTCTGTAGGTTCTCTTTTTATTGTTTTTGTGATGTCTTTTGATGAGCATAAGTGTTTGATTTTTAGGAGTTCCCAGTTATCTAGTTTCTCTTCTGGTGTTTGTGTATTGTTAGTTATGGTGCCACCCCATAGGTTTCCAAGGCTGTAAATCTCCGTGGAAGCAGACTGCTGCATCTTTCTCCTGTGGAGCCACTGGTCGTTTCGAACTGCCAACCTTTCAGTTCGCAGTCAAATGCTTTAACCATTGCACCATCAGGGCTCCTTCAACTGGTAACTGGTAGACTTTATTTGAATGTCACCAGTATTTCCATGTCCTTTCCATGATGTCTTTTTTCTGTTCCAGGATTGCCTTTAGTCACTCTGCTCTTTTTTTTTTTATTTTAATGATGGTAAAATACACATAACATAAAAATTACCATTTTAACTATTTGAAAATGTACAATTCAGTAGTATTAGATATATCCACAATGTTGTGCAACCATCACCACTGTCTAGTTCCACAGCTTTTTCATCACCCCAAACTGAAACCTCATACCCATTAAGCAGTAACTCTCCATTTCCCCCTCTCCCTAAACCCTGACAACCACTAATTTACTTTCTGTTTCTATGGATTTGCCAATTCTGGATATTTCGTATAAATGGAATCTTAACAATATGTGACCTTTTGTGTCTGACTTCTTTCACTGAGCATGTTTTCAAGGTTCATCCATGTTGTAGTAGGTATTAGGACTTCTTTCTCTTTACGAATAAATAATATTCCATTTTATGTATGTACCACATTTTGTCCATTCATCTGATGATGAGCCCTTGGGTTGTTTCCACCTTTTGGCTATTGTGAATAGTACTGCTATGAACAGTCATATACAAGTATTCATTTCAGTTATTTTGGGTATATACTTAGGAGTGGAATTGCTGGCCCATATGGTAATAAACACTCATTAGCAACCTGCATTATGCAGATGACACAACCTTGCCTGCTGAAAGTGAAGAGGACTTGAAGCACTTACTGATGAAGATCAAAGACCACAGCCTTCAGTATGGATTACACCTTAACATAAAGAAAACAAAAATCCTCACAACTGGACCAATAAGGAACATCATGATAAATGGAGAAAAGACTGAAGTTGTCAAGGGTTTCATTCTACTTGGATCCACAATCAACACCCATTAAAGCAGCAGTGAAAAAATCAAAAGATGCAGTGCATTGGGCAAATCTGCCGCAAAAGACCTCTTTAAAGTGTTAAAAAGCAAAGATTTTACCTTGAAGACTAAGGTGCGCCTGACCCAGGCCATGATGTTTTCAATCGCCTCATATACATGCGAAAGCTGGATGATGAATAAGTAAGACTGAAGAAGACTTGACACCTTTGAACTGTGGTGTTGGCAAAGAGGACTGAATATACCATGGACTGCCAAAAGAAAGAACAAATCTGTCTTGGGAGAAGAACAAACCAGTATGCTCCTTAGAAGCAAAGATGGAGACACTACGTCTCACATACTTTGAACATGTTATCAGGACGTATCAGTCCCTGGAGAAGGACTTCATGCTTGGTAAAGTAGAGGGTCAGCGAAAAAGAGGAACACCCTAGATGAGATAGATTGACACAGTGACTACAACAATGGACGGCAAGGATTGTGAGGATGGTGCAGGACTGGGCAGTGTTTCATTCTGTTGTACATAGGGTCGCTAAGAGTTGGAATTGACTTGATGGCACCTAACAACAACAACATGGTAATTCTATGTTAAGCTTTTTCAGGAACTGCTAAACTGTATTCCACAGGGACAGCATCTTTTTACATTCCCACCAGGTTTTGACTTACTGTACATAAATTCTAAAAGCATTCCTCTGCTCAGAATTGTGTGGCAGGAGGCCCTGTTGGTGATTAAGTTCACACTTGGTGTCCGTGGTGGTGAGAGAGGTACCTGGGTCTCTGTTTGGGTGTTGATGCAGCACATACACAACCAGGGTTAGTAACAGGCCTTTCATATTTTGAAGATCTGGGCCCATCAGAGGAGTTTAGAATTGTCTTTCCCTAGATGTGTATTCTGGGGGAGGAAGGAGGTCAGTAATTCTGAACCTTCAGAGAGTAGGCACCTGATCAGGTGCTGATGTAGCGTTTTTGGGGTGACTGCAGCCCTGGCAGAGTCCCTGGTGCTAACCAAAAGTTTAGAGCTTTGAGTCCACCCAGAGGAGCCCTGGAAGAAAGACCTGGTGATCTACTTCCAAAACGTCAGCCACACAAAAAAGTGTGGATTGCACTTCTACTCTGACACACACGGAGTCACCATGAGTCGGAGCCGATTTGACGGCAAGTGGTTTGGCAGCTCTGGCAGACTGTGCTTGGGCCGGATGAAGGTGAGCACTAGGAGCCGTGTCACTGGGAGCCCAAGCAAGATGGACCTTGTCTGAGCTCAGCACAGAGTGCCATTTCTTTGAAGGACTGTGCCAGGAGCTGGCCAGAGAGGTGGCTTTACTGACTGGAATAGCAGCAAGCCTCTCTGTGCCCCAGAAGATCAACTTTCAAAAGCAACACCATGTGGCAGACATAAGCAAAGGCCGCAAGGACTGCTTAGGCCCCTCTTCCCTCCTCTAGGGAGTGGAAGCCACATGTCTCCCTGCCTTGGACCAAATAAGCCTGGGGGTGGTGGTGGTGGCGGTGGCGGGGGGAGTGCTTTCCCAGGAATGATGCTGGATCAGCAGGGTGTGGCAGGTGGAGATGGAGCTCATTTTAAATTAACCTAAAGAAATCAAGTAAGTGTCCATGCGTGCAGCCAAAGCCTTGTGGAGCAATTCATACTGGTTACTGGAATTGTGAGGGAGAGCAGCTCAACATTCTAGAAGCTGAATTTGCCCTCACGCCTGGGGCTTCATAGAATCAAAGGTGCTTGGCAGACCAGGACAGTTTCACCCCAGGATTCTGGATCCTGCCAGCCTTCCAGTCAGATGATCTCGCTTCCATCTCAGTTACTCCTGTCTGTGGAGTTTCTTGCTGGCTAGAGTTCTTCATATTGAAAGCTATATTCTCCCCAGTCCTCACTAGGAACCTGGGATAACAAGGGAGTTTTAGAAGGCAGCCTTTGAAAATTTCAGAGCAAACATACATGATGTGAGATTCTGAAGTGAAAAATAAATCAAAAAGGCTAGGAGGTTCTAAAAAAGATCCTGACAGCAGTTGCAGATAAACTTTTAATATGTCATGAAGCCCATCAGAAATTGTCCATTTACCTGTGAAAGGTGGCAGAGGCCACTAAGCACCAAGTCACTTTACTTCTGACTGGAGTTGATTCAGGGAGCGTGCCCCCTCCTTTGCCTGTGACGGTGGCAACCTGTTTGCACTTCCTTGTTTTCTGTCTCTTCCCAGTTCCTGGCCCAGCTGATGGTGTTTCTGATTAATTCATAAGCTCTGTGTTTTGTGGCCACTTGGTGAAGCTGGAGTTGGATGCTGTCACACTTGAAATTGCCATATGTATTGAACTTTCTAACACTGATTTATGAAAGCCATGTGTGCTAGTTTCCTATTGCTGCTGTAACAAATTACCACCAACTTACAACAACACAAATGTATTATTATTTCACAGTTCTGGAGATCAGAGTCTGAAATGGGCCTTACTGGGCCAAAATCAAAATGTTGGCAGGGCTGCATTCCTTTCTGGAGGCTATAGGGGAGACGACTCCTTGTTGGCTTTTCTGGCTTCCAGAGGCTGCCCACAATTCTTGGCTCACGACTCCTTTCCATCTTTAAAGTCAGCAATGAGCGGTCTAGTCTTTCTCACATGGCATCACTCTGACACACTCTCTTCTGCCTTTCTCTTCCACTTACAAGGGTCCTTGTGAGTACGTTAGGCCCACCTGGATAATCCAGGCCAACCTCCTCATCTCAAAGTCAGCTGATTAGCCATCTTAATTCCATCTGCAACCTTAATCCTCCTTTGCTATGTAACCTATTTGCAAGTTTTGGGGATTAGGAAGTGGACATCTTTGGGCGACCATTATTTGGCCCACCATATCATCTCATTGATAATCCCATGGAGCTGTGGCTTCTTTTCTTGGTCTCACATCTGGGAGAAGGGAATAGTAAAAAGGGAGTTGAGTTCTGACTTCATCATGAGAAACCCTAACTCCCCCATACCACTCCTATTAATTGTCTGTCTTACTGAGAGTCCCTGATCTAGAAATGGAACTAGAAGACTAAATTCTAGATCCTAGTATCTTAACCTAAAATTAGGAGGAACCCCAAGTCCTCTCTATATCCTAAATGCAAACTCCAGTAACTGAAGAGATATGTCATTGATCTCTGCCAGGGGTTGTCGACTGGCCGTGCAAGAGGCCAAGGGGATATATCAACTCATCCAGATCCAGTTCCCGTCGACTCGACTCCTACTCATGGTGACCCCATGTGTGTAGAGTAGAACTGTGCCCCATTGGGTTTTCAATGGCTGTGACCTTTCAGAAGTAGATCGCCAGGACTTTCTTCTGTGGTGCCTCTGGGTGGACTCAAACCTTCAACCTTTGGGTTAGCAGCTGAGCACACTGACCATGTATACCACCCAGGGACTTCTTAGCCTGTTAGGTGTTTCTAAAGAACTGGATTCAGTGGCTCTAGGCAGGTGTGTGATCTCTGTCCTCCCAGGTTCCTCCACTCCCCTTTCCTCCTGCCCTGCACACATTTACATGACCTCCCTGGTCTCTTCAGACATTTGAGTTTGCTGCCTCTGAACTATGCAAAACTACTCTGAACCAAGTGTATACAGATTGCTTTATTTTGCTTTCAGGGAGTTATATGGACAACCTCAGGCTTAATTGTCCTTTTTTTTTCCAATGCTCAGAAATTGTGGAGAAAACAGAAATGCACCCAGCAAGCCTCAGGCAGATTCTGTCTGGCCAGCAACTTTCAGGGTGCAACCAAGTCCCTCTCAAAGCTGGTACCTCTCAGGTAGGCCGTTTGGGCTGCTGTCCATGGATATCTTCCTGTAGACTTGGGGAGGTAGCAGGTTCCAGACAGGAAGAGCATTGGGCATTGTGATATGTCACTCCTTGGTTTAGAGGGCACTGCCCTCGGCTCCCAGAAGCTCCAGGAACCGCAAAGGTTTTGTTGAGGACCTTAGTCAATGCAAGTATACCTACAAGTCCTGGGACACTAGTCTTTTTTTTTTTTTTTTTAATGTGCTTTAAGTGAAAGTTTACAATTCATGTTAGTCTCTCATATAAAAATTTATACATACATTGTTATGTGACCCTAGTTCCTTTCCCTATACTGTGATGGCACACTCCTCCTTTCCACCCCGGATTTCCCGTGTCCATTCAACCAGCTCCTGACCCTCTCTGCCTTCTCATTTCACCTCTGGACAGGAGCTGCCTATTTAGTCTCATGTATATACTTGAGCTGAGAAGCACACTCTTCATGAGTATCATTTTATGTCCCATAGTCCAGTCTAATCTTTGTCTGAAGAGTTGGCCTCGAGAATGGTTTTAGTTTTGGGCCAACAGAGAGTCTGGGGGCCATGTCTTCCAGGGTCTTTCCAGTCTCAGTCAAACCATTAAGTCTGGTCATTTTACTAGAATTTGAGTTCTGCACACCATGTTTCCCCTGCTCCGTCAGGGGCTCTCTGTTGTGTTCCCTGTCAGGGCAGTCATTGGTGGTAGCCAGGCACCATCTAGTTCTTCTGGTCTCAGGCTGATAAAGTCTCTGGTTTATGTGGCTCTTTCTGTCTCATGGGCTGATATTTTCCTTGTGTCTTTGGTGTTCTTCCTTCTTCTTTGCTCCAGGTGGGTTGGGACCAATTGATGCATCCTAGATGGCCGCTTGCTAGCTTTTAAGACTCCAGACGCCACTCACCAAAGTAGAATGCAGAACATTTTCTTAATAAGCTTTGTTATGCCAGTTGACCTAGATGTCCCCTGAAACCATGGTCCCCAAATCCCCGCCCCTGCTACTTTGTCCCTCAAAGTGTTTGGTTGTACTTAGGAAACATCTTAGCTTTCGTTTAGTCCAGTTGTACTGCTTCCCCTGTAGTGTGTGTTGTCCTTCCCTTCACCTAAGATAATTCTTGTCTACTATCCAGTTAGTGAATACCCCTCTCCCTCCTCCCTCCCCCTCGTAACCATCAAAGAATGTTTTCTTCTGTGTTTAAACCTTTTCTTGAGTTCTTATAATAGTGGTCTTATACAATATTTATTCTTTTGTGACTGACTAAATTCACCGAGCATAATGCCTTCAGATTCCTCCATGTTATGTTTCACGGATTCATTGTTGTTCTTTATCATTGCATAGTATTCCGTTGTGTGAATATACCGTAATTTGTTTATCCATTTGTCCATTGATGGGCACCTAGGTTGTTTCCATCTTTTTGCTATTGTGAACAGTGCTGCAATGAACATGGGTGTGTGTATATCTATTTGTGTGATGGCTGTTTTTTCTCTAGGATATATTCTAAGGAGTGGGATAGGTGGATCGTGTGGTACTTCTATTTCGAACTTTTTGAGGAAGCACCAAATCGACTTCCAAAGTGGTTGTACCATTTTCTGGGGCACTAGGCCTGACTTTAGAGATTTGCTTCTGCACTCTCGGTATTCTTTGGGATGTTGTAACAGGCCACGTTAAGTCTGGAGCAAGTGGACTTATCCAAATACACTAATGTGCCACATTTGCATGTGGGTTTTAAATTTCCCCTAAGAAGGGCTTATACTCTCGTGAAACTGGGAAGCAAAATGACTGTTTTTTGAAAAGAGAAAGTCTGCTTAATAAACTCTGGCCTAGTTTTTTTTTTTTTCTCCCTAAACTTAAGTATGGAGTCCCTGGGTGGGGCTCAGCTGCTAACCGAGAGGTTGAAAGTTCAAGTCCACTCAGCAGTGCCTCAGAAGAGAGGCCTGGCTATTTAGTGCTGAAAATCAACTGTTGAAAACCTCATGGGCGGAGTCCCTGGGTGACACAAAAGGTTAAACTCTTGACTACTAGTGGAAAGGCTGGTGGTTAGAACTTACCCAGAGGAGCCTTGGAAGACTTGGAAGACAGGCCTGGGGATCTGCTTCTGAAAGGTCACAGCCTTGAAAACCCTGTGGAGCAGCCATGAGTTGGAATCAACTCAGTAGCAATTAATAGCATATCTATACATACATGTACGCCATATGTATAATGAATCTTATGAATAATAAAAGAAAACAAGTAGAAAAATGATCATTGAAGATGCTTCTCTTAACAAAAAAGAAAATCCTGTGGAGCACAGTTCTGCTGTGACACATGAGGTCACCATGAGTCAGGCTGGACTTGGTGGCAACTGGTTATCATTTCAGCATGTCCTCTGAGCTGACCCGGCTGCTCTAGGGCTCCAGGCAGTTGACAAAGTGGACCAGTTGACTTGGTGTTGGGGAAGCTTTGCAGGCTTCGATCCGTACAGGTAGAAGACTTGTTTTCCTTTCTTCCTTTAGTTCTGTGTGACCTTATCTCCTTGTGCTTATTTCAGGTTATCAACGTCACTGACATTTCAGTGGGATATGGCTTATCTTCTGCTTGTGACGCCCTCATCTCCCAGGTAAACAGAAGTGGTCACACTCCCACGTGACCCTAGACATCTTCTCTTGAGCATAGATGGAAGAGCCCCACCAGCGAGGAGGGAGAGCCTTGTGCACAGTCAGCCATCAATTCCGTTTTCCCTCGTGTGCTTTCTTTTAAATGTGGCTGGAGCCAGTATTTATGAACATGACTGCATTATACTACATTGTGACCAAATAAGGGGCATTCTGCAAACGTTCCTTCTTCTATCACTTACTAAAGCATGGGAGTCGTTGATTTTGGTATAGTCCAATGGTTCTCAAACTTTAGTGTGCATCAGAATCACCTGGAGGGCATGTTAAAACACAGATTGCTGAGTCCTGTCCAGTGGCAAGCGGGTAAATGTCTAACAGTCAGCTTTGGGGTAGGAGGAAGGGAATATCTTGACTTGCAGTGTTTGCTGTTTCTGGGGGTGTAAGTACACCCTCTGTGGCTGATTTCAGGCTACCACTGAGATGTCACCGAATGTGGAAATGGGAAGAGATGTGCACAATTGTCTTTCATAAGCTGGTGGGAGTTGGCATCAGCACACTGCTGGCCTTACTTGCAGGGTTTCTGCTTCAGTAGGTCTGGAGGTGGGCCCAAGAATTTGCATTTCTAACAAGCTTCCAGGTGATGCAACCCTGACTGCACGTCAGAATCAAATGGAGAGCTTTTAATAATTATTGATATGTGAGTCCCTGCCCTGGACCAGTTAAGTTCAGAATACCTGGAGTGGACCCTAGCATCAGTGTTTTTTAACTGTTCCCCAGGTGAATCTGATGGGCAGCACGTTTGAGAATCACTAATCTTTCCTATCATCAGTGCCCCCCTTCCTATAGAACATGGCAAGTTTCTAGGACAACCTGCTTTTTTTTTTTTTTAATCTTTTATTGTTTGTTTATTTTCTTTTCTTCCCTTAATTTTTTCCCGTACAAAAATTTTACATACATTGTTATGTGACCCTAATTGCTCTACCCATACTGTTACAGCACACTCCTCCTTTCCACCCCTGATTCCCCATGTCCATTCAACCAGCTCCTAACCCTCTCTGCCTTCCCTTCTCACCTCTGGACAGAAGCTGCACCTTTAGCCTCTTATATCTACTTGAGCTAAGAGGCACACTATTCATGAGTATTACTTTATGTCCCACAGTCCAGTTCAATCTCTGTCTGAAGAGTTGGCCTCGGAAATTGTTTTAGTTCTGGGCAGATAGAGAATCCAGGGGCGGTGCTTTCCGGGGTTCCTCCAGTTTCAGTCAAACCATTAAGTCTGGTCTTCTTACTAGAATTTGAGTTCTGCACACCACCTTTCTCCTGTTCCATCCGGGACTCTCTGTTGTGTTTCCTGTCAGAGCGGTCATTGGTGGTAGCCGGCCACCATCTAGTTCTTCTGGTCTCAGGCTGATGAAGTCTCTGGCTTATGTAGCCCTTTTTGTCTCTTGGGGTAATGCTTTCCTTGTGTCTTTGGTGTTCTTCATTCTTCTTTACTCCAAGTGGTTGGGACCAATTGATGCATCTTAGATGGCCACTTGCAAGCTTTTAAGACCCCAGACGCCACTCACCAAAGTAGGATGCAGAACATTTTCTTAATAAGCTTTGTTATGCCA